ATTGGTGGGAACATGGCAACGAGAAAAACACGAATAAATTAGTGGAATGAAAAGCGTTCGTTGATACCTGTGGGATTTAGACTGCCGGTTTGAAAGATGAGCTTTTGTTCAAGAGTTTTACGGCTTTCCGTGCTACCTAAGTGTAAGGAAAGACCGCAGATTGCCATATGTTGCTTAGAATGATTAGGTAAATTAAAATGTCTAGCGACTGGTTTCGATGTGTCCTTGTCATTCCTCTCCACGTCGCGAAGGTGTTCTCGGAATCGGCCACCTAGTCTTCTGCCTGTTTCACCGATGTAAATCTTTTTGCAATAAGTACAAGTTATGCAATAGATTACATTGGCGGAGGTGCACGTGAAGTGATCGGTGATCTTAATGGATCGTTTGGGTCGCTATATTTTCTCAGCGTTGTGAATGAAAGGACACGTTTTGCATCGTGCACGAGCGCATTTAAAAGTGCCTGTTTGGTCATAACTCTGAAAAGAACGTCTGACCAAAAGTATTCAAACGCGACAAAAGACGCAGGGTTAGGGGTAGGAGACGTTAATTTCCCACACACAAGATTACAGTGTGATGGATGTCCTCCCCTGGGGTAGGATGGGTGGGATATTTGGCGCACTTAATTTGGAGCCTCGCTCTGTTGTGCGACCCTCACCACACTCTGGTGAAAGTGATTAGATAAAAAGCCCGAGTAATGAAATCCAGAGAGGTCTTTACCGTAGAAGTTCAACCTGCTATCGTCTCGGTTGATTTTATTTCTGTTAACTGTTAATAATATCCCTTGAATAAAAGTATCCGGGGTAAAATAATGGATAAAAGAACTCTTCGCAAACTAAATGTCTCGTAACTAACTCTCACATCTCGTAAATATTTCTTTGGGAGAAGTATTTTGGTTAAATAAATCAGAACAAGGCAAAAACTAATACTTTCTATAAACTAAATTATTCAAAGATGACCTTCATTTTTCGTAAACATATAATGTTACTAACACTTCCCTGTCCAAGAGTGTCGGTTACAAAATAAAGCTTTTTCAAACGGTTTTACGAAAGCTCGGTGATGTCTGCTTTTCTTATATAATTACCATTTAACTACAACAAATCGATTTAAACGCATTTGATATTGCGTTTTGCTATTTTTAGATCTGACTGGCCACTTCTATGTCCTCTCACTTCGTTTTCAGTGACCCTTCTTTTGTTTTCCTTGCGAAAACAATTCAAAAAAAAAAAGAAAAAAGTCTCAGAGCCTTCAACCCATACTATGGCGTCAACGTGGTCGTATGAAAATTACGAAAATTACAAAAGAAACCGGCGCACAAAAAATGGAGACTGGGGACATATTCCCACCGTAGTCGCGTGGGTACGTAGAGCTTCCTTCATCCGCTTTCAGGCCTCATCTGTTTCACCATCTTCCTCATCATATTCCTGAACAAAAATTACAACAAAAGAATTCGAGTGAAACTGCTGAAACAGATGAGGGTGAGTGCAATTAAGTAGGTCTTCTCGAAAGCCTATCTGTTGTTTATAGGAGACAGGCTGATAGCAGGAAAGAAAGGGAATTTATAACGGAATAATTGTTACCGGATCGCATTGAGTTTCTCTTCCACCGACTCCCACGGATTGCGTTCTTCACTGAATTCAAGAAGCTCTAGAGACAAAGC